AATTTTAGTGTAATGTGCTCTTGTAATTGAAAGGGGAGAGATAATTTGGATGTTCTGCAAAGGAAATTAGATGTGTACTTGGGCTCTGGATGGTTTTTTAAAATATAAGAGCAAAATTTAAATGTTTTGATTAAGTCTCCTTAAAATGTAGTAATAAAGTATATGGAGTTTCTTTTTTCATTTTGCTCTGTGACTGGTTTAAAGGTAAGTTTGTTATATTTCTGGTAGATCTTGCCAGGCTTCTCCCAACAGAGTAGAAGTGATTTGGCCATATAACGTAACGGTGCTACCGCTTTCTTCGTTCCAGTTTTGGAAAGGATAGAGCTGGAATTGGGTATAACTCCTGTCAGTATATTGGTTAAAATACAGAAGAGGCAGGAGTTCGGCTGGTTGGATGGGATTCCCTTAGGATTTTACAGCTGATAAAGATGCACTTCCTATGCATGTCCCAGGAATCATTAATCCTCTTTTACTCTGTTGGGATGAGTCTTTTTTTGTTCCTGTTCAGAGTGGTCACTAACTTAGTCTTCTCTCCTCTTGCTGTCATCTGCATTTGTGCTTTCCACCTGTTGTTGGCATGTCCTTTACCTTCTCTTTCCCTGCCACGTCAACCTACACACTGACTCGTCGTTGGCTTTGAAGATGTGGAAGATGTCAAGTTTGTGATCAACTATGACTATCCAAACAGCTCAGAGGATTATGTGCACCGCATTGGCCGAACAGCCCGTAGCACCAACAAGGGCACCGCCTACACCTTCTTCACCCCAGGAAACCTCAAGCAGGCCAGAGAGTTGATCAAAGTGCTGGAAGAAGCCAATCAGGCTATCAACCCCAAGCTGATGCAGCTGGTGGACCACAGAGGAGGCGGCGGAGGAGGGGGTAAGGGTAAGTCCTGGAGTTTTCCAGGTACTGCCAAGGTATCTCTTTGTATTCATTGTGCCTTATTTTTTAATTCTGTGTAGGCTTTTATTAAGTATGTTGCTTAGTAACAAAGGACAGTGCTTAATGGTTTTCATAATCTCTTCTGAGTAAGACAATGTGATTGTCTTACTTTTGCAGCATATTATTTCCGTAGATAATGTAAAACTGACCTTTGTATTTTGAAGTACATGGTGCATATTCAAAATTAAGCTGAATTATGGTTACTTTAATACCTAATTTTACACCATTTTATGGTAGTAGAACAGGCACAGCTATTAGATCTAAAAATTAGTTGCAAAATACACTAGGATCTACACCTCCTGACTACCATTTTGGTATTTCCTTTTCTCCAACTTACTGCATGCATGTTTAAGCTCTACAGTGGAATTACCTGAGAGGTTTTATATATACAGGTTTTTTGGGTTTAGAATTGAGCTAGGAGCGTGAACATTTTTCCTTAAAGCTTGTGGGAGGATTCTGAGGCAGTTAGGACCACAAAGCAACACCTGTGTACCACTTGCACTAGTAGGTCTTTCACGATGTTGTGAGTTTAGCTGCTTGTCTTTTTTTTTTTTTTTTTTTTTTT